CCAACGAGACGCCATCCTCCTCGTCCTACGGTCATACGCCATTGTCTTCGCGTGGGGCCCGGACGATATGCCAGGCATCAGCCGCCAGGTGATCACTCACCGGCTGACCGTCGATCCGGCCTCCGCGCCTGTCAAACAGAAGCGGCGCTACTTGTCCGCCGACAGGCGGGACTTCGTCAAAGGGGAGGTCGCCATGCTCCTCTCAATCAAACACATCAAAGAGGTGAAGTACCCGACATGGTTGGCCAACGTCGTCCTCGCACAGAAACCGCCGACGTTCAGAATGTGTGTTGATTACACTGACCTGAACAAGGCATGCCCCATGGACCCGTTCCCTCTCCCCAACATTGATCAGCTGGTGGACGAGACGGCGGGGTGCGAGTTGATGTCGTTCCTCGACGCTTTCAGAGGGTACCACCAGATCTCCATGCATGAAGATGACGCTGAGAAGACGACATTCATGACCCCAGAGGGAATCTTTTGCTACCTCGTCATGGCCTTCGGACTCAAAAACTCCGGCGCCACCTATACTAGGATGGTGGCCAAGATCTTCAGAGCGGTCCTTGGCCGGACGATGGAGGCGTACGTCGACGACATGATCGTCAAGAGCAGGCAGGCCACCTCCCACGCCGACGACCTCCGGGAAATCTTTGAAATAATGAAGGAGTTCAGGCTCCGTCTCAACCAAGAAGTGCGCCTTCGGCGTCCAGGGCGGCAAGTTCCTCGGCTACATGGTCAGCCGGAGAGGCATCGAGATTAACCCGGAGAAGACGCAGGCTATCATCAATATGGAGCCGCCCCGCAACGTCAAGGAGGTACAGCGACTGACGGGGCGCCTGGCGGCCTTAAACCGGTTCCTCTCCAGGTCAGCCGAGAGGGCACTCCCCTTCTTTCAGATCATGCGGAAAGCCAACAGCTTCAAGTGGACGACGGAGTGCAAGGAGGCATTCGACGAATTGAAAAGGTACCTGTCGTCCCCACCCGTGCTCTCCAAGCCCAGAGCCGGCGAAACCCTTTTCTTGTACTTAGGGGTGAGCACGTCGACCATCAGTTCCGTGCTCATCCGTGAGGACGAAGGGGTGCAGAAGGCTATCTTCTACATCAGCAAGACACTCAGGGAGGCCGAGCTCAGGTACTCCCCCATTGAGAAGACGGTGCTGGCCATCGTCCACACGGTGAAGAAGCTGGGGCACTACTTCCAGGCCCACGCCGTCCATGTACTGACCCAGCAGCCTCTCGGCGCACTCATGAGGAGCCCCACCAGCTCCTCTAGGATGGTGAAATGAGCAATTTTCCTCAGCCAATTTCAAATTGAGATCAAGCCAAGGCCATCCATCAAAGGGCAAGCCTTGGCCGACTTCGTCATCGAATGCACAGCAAGGGAGACGGTCGTCGCCAACCCCGGGCCGGAGCAGGACGATACATGGACCCTGTTCACTGACGGCTCGTCGGCCGCGAAATCATGCGGCGGCGGCGGCGTCCTCATATCCCCTGAAGGATTCAGAGCTTACTATGCCATCCGCTTCAACTTCAGGGTATCCAACAACGAAGCCGAGTATGAGGCCCTCCTCAGCGGTCTCAGACTCGGCGCCGGCCTCAAGGCCAAGCACCTCAAAATCAAGTGCGACTCCAAACTGGTAGTGGGCCAGGTGGAGGGATCGTACGAAGCAAAGGAAGGCCGGATGAAGCAGTACAAACAAGCGGCGGAGGAGTTGCTGAAAGTGTTTGAAACCCACGAGATCACTCAGATCCCCAGGGCCGAGAACGCCGAAGCCGACATCCTCTCCAAGCTCAGCTCGGACACCCCGGAGCACATCTCCCAATTGGCCAAAATCGAGGAGTTGAGCATGTCCAGCATCCATGCCAGCCCCGTCTTGTGCGTCCAACAGCGACCAGAGGACTGGATCTCCGACATCGCCACCTTCATCACAACGGGGGAGCTGCCCCCGGACGAGGAGAGGGCCAAACTTGCCAAAGTCAGGGCCCCAAGCTACACCATCGAAGATGGAAAACTCTACAAACGGTCCTATAATGGCACTCTCCTCCGATGCCTGCACCAGGACGAGGCCGACACAGCCATGGAAGAAGTTCATTGTGGCGTCTGCTCCTCACACCAGGGCCCTTTCAGCATGTCCCGGCGTCTCGTCGTCCAGGGCTTCTTCTGGCAGACGATGGCACGCGACTGCGCTGACCTGGCCAGGAAGTGCACCACATGCCAGGTACTCCAGAAGGCCCCTGGTCGGCCAGCCGTCAACTAAGCCCCCGTCAGCACCGCAATTCCATTCTCCAGATGGGGGATTGACCTGGTCGGCCCCCTGCCCAGAGCCGCCGGGAATAACGGCTACATCATCGTCGCCGTCGACTACTTCACCAAGTGGGTCGAGGCGGAGCCCTTGGCCAGCATCACGGGGGCCAGATGCCAAAAATTTGTTTACAAGAACATCATCACACGCTTTGGCGTCCCCCAGAAGATTATATCAGACAACGACACCCAATTCGAGGCAGCCCCTTTCCAGGAGCTCCTCCGGGAGTTTGGGGTGAGGCATCGTTTCTCCTCCGTTGCCTATCCTCAGGGCAACGGGCAGGTTGAGAACGCCAACAGAACAATCATGGAAGGGCTGAAGAAGAAACTCCAGGCCGCAGGAGGTAGTTGGGTCGACGAGCTCCCCAACATCCTGTGGTGCTACAGAACCACGCCGAGGAGGGCGCCAGGCGAAACGCCTTTCGCCCTGTGCTACGGCTTTGAAGCAAAGGCGCCCACGGAAGTTGCCATCCCCAGCCGGCGGGTGGAACAATATGAGCCTGACACCAACGAAGAGAACATGAAGATTGACCTACACCTGGTTGATGAGAGGCGTGAGCAAGCTTACGTCCGAGCAGAGAACTACCGGCGTCAAGTAAAATCATACTATGACGCCAAGGTACGTTCCCGGGAATTTCAAGTGGGGGACTACGTCCTCCGCCGAAGGGAAGCAAGCCAGCCGACAGAGGGTGGCAAGCTAGCATTGAAGTACGAAGGGCCCTACATCGTCAGTGCCGTGGTCAAACCCGGCACCTACAAGCTTAAACGCCCGAATGGGTCCAATGTACCACGAACGTGGAATGTACATCATATGGTGAAGTTTTATCAGTAATCCGAAGGAGGTGCAGACGGCGAAGCCCTCACCCCCTAACGGGTTACTGATTGAACGCCACCCCCGGCCTCGAGCCACTTATGAATAAAATCATGTTCTGATTTTCTCTGGAATTTAAAGTGAAACATTAGCAGGTGCTCCCGTCGGCCACCTTAGAGCGAAAGGCTCAGGCACGGCCGACATGGCCCCTTGCATTTGCAGCCTACGAGCGACAAGCTCAGGCACTCCATTGTATTTTGTATCAGCGAAGGGCTCAGGCCTAGCTGAGAGAGCACATCGTCCTGGCCCCGTAAGCCTAGAAGTGAAACGCTCAGGTATGGCCGACGATGTCCCCAGGACGAGGGGCCCGCAAACGGCCCACGTCTTGAAACGGGAAGCTCACCGCGTCGTCCACGCGCCAGAACACAGGACGACAGGCCTGAAATCATGGCCGAGGTGACAAAATCCCAAAACTCAGGGATGGGCAACGACAGCCGTTGGAAACCGACCAAAAGTCTAGCCCACGTCATAAATAGGTGACGGGACCCGCCCTGAGATCACGGACGTTATAAACGAAGTCCGAACCGGCCGAAGGACGAGCACACCCTTCGGCCGAAGCCTGAAAGAAGGATACTCCCCGGAAATATATATATATATATATATATATATATATATATATATATATATATATATATATATATATATATATATATATATATATATATATACAAGGGAAAAAGAGGGAAGCCAACGGCCGCGCACATTAGCCGGCCTCAAGCAATGAAAAAATAAAATCCCCACAACTCAGGCTAGCCGACGAAGGTAGGACCATCTCCTTGGAAAAGCCATTCCTTATCCAGCACCCTCATCGGCCACAAGCCAGACCTTGGCCGGCAGCGGTACCGCAAAGAAGTAAATGCCTAACATTTATACTTAGAAAATTATCTAAGTACTCAAATGAAGGAGCTCTAGCCGAAGCGGGTACCAGTATATTCCAAGGCCGTTAGCTACCTACACCTCTGCATGTGTACTTAGAAGAATTCTAAGTTCAAAAGATCAAGGTGAAGGTGCCCTTATCGGCCACAACACAAAGGATACAGGCCGACAACGACATTGGCTCAAACACTTGGGAAATCTCCCAGATCATATGTCAAGAATGATAAATCCAAGGCCAGGACAATGAGAACGCTCAGCCACTTGAAGTTAGAAACTTGGGAAAATTCTAACAAAAGATAAGAAAGCCAACGCCTGGACGGAGCGGACACCACGGTCAAGGCCGAAGGGAAAGCACCTAAGTGAATCCAAAAACACTTAGGAAAATTATGAATAGATCCTAAGTGTTGTGATAGTAAGGAAGCACCGGACATGCCGACCAAGCCATTAGGCCGGAAGGAAAGCAACTACAAGAATCCAAAAACACTTAGGAAATTTTTTTTAAAAAAAAATCCTAAGTGTTATGATACTACATCAACACCAAACAGGCCGACAAAGCCACCAGGCTGAAGAGAAGGCACTTAAAAGGATCCAAAACACTTAGGAAATTTTGGAAAAAATCCTAAGTGTTATGATAGTAGAGAAACGACAGCCAGGCCGATCAAGCCACTAGGCCGGAAAGACAGCAACTACGTGGACCCAAAACACTTAGGAAATTTTTGAAAAAATTCCTAAGTGTTATGATAGTAAAGCAAAGATGAATAGGCCGACCAGGCCACCAGACAGGAAGGCCGACCTCACGGACGTAGCGGACACTCACGTGTGAACCAAGTTATGACCTTGACAATTAGACAAATTTTAGAATTGAAATGACACATGGCAAACAAGCATACAAGGAATTCAAAGCCGATCAGGACAGCAAAAATTTTCATTTATATTCAGTTCAGTACAAAGGTGGGCTCTTCGGCCGTTACATCATTTGGCAAAAATAAAAACTAACTACAAAGGAGTAGCCGATCAAGCCTCTGGGGCACCTCCATCTGCGGCTGGCTCTTCGGCCTCGTCGGCTCCCTCATCGGCCTCAGTCTCCTGGCCGGCAGCGGCTGCAGCGCTGGTGGCATCGTCCAGGAAATAAAATTCAGTATAATCCGGCTCGCCAAGGCCGGAGCTTTCAATGGGGGACTCGCGCTCCGACAGCGGAAGCTTGGCCTGCTCTTCAGGATCCTTCATCAGCTTTGGAAGCTTCAGGTTCCGTCTAGCCCACCTAGACGTGTAATTCATGGCCTTCAAAGCACGAGATAGCCGCCGACACAGGAGCCTTTGCATCCGCTCCTGGCCCATGTTATAATACACGGCCATCTCTCTGCTGAAATACTCTCAAGCCTGGCGGCCACCACCCCGTAGCACCAGGGAAGCCTCTCATAGGCCTTCCACCCCTCGGCCAGGAACGTCTCAACGGCCTCATCAGCAGCCCTCACAACGGCGGCCTCGGCCTCAGCTTTCGCCTTAACGGCCTCCTCGTTTTTGCACCGCTCGGCCTCCAGCGCCTTTTGGGTCTCCTCGAGCCCCCTTTTGCTCTCCTCGAGCTTGGCCAGGGCATCGTCCCTGGCTGCAACGGCTTCATCGGCCCTTTGCTGCAGAGCCTTGGCATCCTCCCGGAGCCGATCCAGGCAAGCTACCGCCTCGTCGGCCGAGGCAGCCTTCTGCTCCAGCTCCTTCAAGCGAGCTATCTCCCGGTACTTCCTTTTATGGCTCTCCATGAGCATAAAGGCACTCTGCAGAACAAGGAAAACAATTCAGGCAAACGACTCTACATGGACGACGAGAAAAAACGACACATACGAAGGAAAGTAACTTACTTGGACGAGGAGGTCCATGCCACCCTCATAAATCTTCACGTCCCCGAGCTTCTTCAAGTAAGCCCGATCCTTGGCCGGCATGGCCTGGGCCAGGACGTCGTGGCCAAGGACGACATCATCGAACACACCCCCGCCGACGGGGTATTCTACCATCTTCTGGTAGGTAGCACCGGCAATCTCCTTGCCGGCCCTCTTCGTCCGTGGTTCCTGGACGAGAGGAAGCGATGGGGCAGCATTGCCAGCAACAGTAAGGTCCACGACGGGACCACCATCGTCCACGCTCGGGACAGTCAGAGTACCGGCCTCGGTAGCCGGAGAAGGAGACGGTGCCCTCTTCGTCTTCTTGGAGACGTTCAGGCCGGCTTCAATTAATTTTTTCTGGCCGTCAGTGGCCGGCCTCTTCTTCTTCGATGGGGCAGGCTTTGGGGCCGCACCAGTAGTAGCCCCGCTCCCATCGGCCTCGGCACGTCTGGCCGCCTCGGCCGCCTTAGTAGCCAACTCCTCGGCCGCTTTGGCCTTGGCAATAGCCATTATGGAACGACGATCCATCGCAAAATCTACAAAGGAAAAACACAACAGATTAGTAAGGCAAAGGAACAAAACATAAAGACAGAAAGCCGAAGAAATCATTACCATCGGCCTCAGCAGGAATGCCCAAGTCCGGGCCGTCGGCTTCTTCAAAGGTGGTGGTCATCCTCGGCCAGAGTTGGAGGTCATCCTCGGCCAGAGTTGGAGGTCATCCTCCTTATCACCATACACATGGTATCTAAAGAAGCCGAGGGCGGTCATCTTGTATTCAGTAATGTAGTCCTTCACGCTCCTCGGCCCCCCTTCCAGGAAAGCCTCCACCTGAGCGTCCAAGATAGAGCTCTTCGGCGGGTCATGGAGATTGAACCTCCCGGTATGGCCGAGGGAGGGAAATTCGGTGCCACTCTCACCCAGGGATACAAAAACGAACTTGCTCTTCCACCCATGAATGGACGAAGGCAAGTCCGTGAAGCTCCTGTTCTTCGGCAGTTGTTGAAGAGTAGCATAGGCCGCACAGTTCTTGTGGCTTCCTCGGCTGATCTGGTACAAATTCATGAATAGGGCCATTGTCGGCCTGTAGCCCAGCTCCTCACACCGGAGTAAAAAGCCCACCATCAAGGAATAACTGTTCGGCGTCAGCAAGGCCGGAGGAAGCCCTACCATGTCCAGGTACTCAGTGATGAAAGGGTGAAGGGGGAACCTCAACCCCTTAGCAAAACTCATCGGGTATACTCCAAAGTATCCCGGTGGCGGAAGAAGAACATTGTCCGTCGGCCTGGGTGCCCTAACCCGCCCAAACGGCCCCACATACATCTGGGCAACAAGATAGTCGGCCGCGCTGCTCTCCGGCTTAATCAAAAAGATGTTGGTGAGATCCAGGTAGGAGAGGCCCGGCCCACTCTTCGGCCTCCTCACCCTCTTCGGCTTATCTGCTCCCTTCACGGCAGACACCGGCCTCGGGCAGGGAATGACAGCGGAAGTGGACGCCCCGTCCACCACTCGGGACGCACCTGCGTCCTCACCCCTGGAAGAAGAGGCGGACTCCTCGTCCTCGACTTCATCGTCCACCAGCTCTTCGGATTTGTAAGGACTCAAATGTTGTATCTCCTCCTCGAACTCCTCGAGCACCTCATAGTCAAGCGACCTCGTGGAGGGCTGGTCGTCGTAAGGGTAGTAGTCTTCGTTCAAACTCTTCATCACAACAAACTACTACGAGCCTAAGGGAAGTAACTTAGGATCTAAGGGTGTTCAAACGCCTAACACTAGATCACTAGCCTAGGAAGCAAAGTATGCACAAAGTACAGAAGATGGCGATGAACACTAACCTTGAACAACGAAGAACACGAAGAACAGGCTTGGGAGTTTATCTCTCTAGAAAAATGGCCAGCACTTCGACAATTCAGAATGCAAATGTGGTTTCTCGTCGGAGGGGGAGGGGTATTTATAGAACCCCCCACCCAACGGTCACTACACGTGGCACCCTCCCAATGGCCACATCAGCGGTCACCAATGGGAGGCCACCACGTCACCAACGGGCCAAACTCAATATCAACAGCCCACTGGCAAGACGGACCCTACGGCCTATACACGTGTCGGCTTCACGAGTGCCAGCAAGCGCCCACATCGTCCTACTTGCCGGCAAGCGCCCACAACGTCCTACTTGCCCGCCAAAATCACAAATACCAAACAATGAGGGGAGGTCAACGGCCAGGAACGTAATGAACGCCCGTAACGGCCACAGAACAAAAGGAACAAAGAGCCCACAGCCATCGGCTCCTCGTAATGACCCTTGATGATAACTCTCTACAAGCGATCTGCGCACAAGGGTTCTCCCACAGGGTTACCTTGGCCAGCAAATCGCCATGAGGGTTGGATTCAGGGGGACTACGGAGAGGCCGCTTCGACCAGGGACCCAAGCTACTCCTTCACCCCTCACACTCTTCGGCCTGAAGCAGTGGGGGACTGGGGGACTACATCGGCCTCAACAAAACAAAAAGGAACAACACAAAGAACATGAATGTAACCACAAAGCATGATCACATCGTCCACGCATCACAATGGCGCCTCGTCGGCCAGAGGCACATAACATCATCAGCAACGGCCAAAAGGAGTGCGCGAGCACCCTCATCGGCCACCCAAAGGAAAGGACACCATCGTCCTCAAAGCAAGGAACAACCTCAACGGCCTCATCGGCCCAAACATAAACTTCAACCACCAACGTCCAGGAAAGGGAAAGCGTGCCTTCAACGGCCGCCATTGAAACAAGACACTCATCATCCTCAAATGAACACATTAAGGAAACAACGGCCTCCCCGCCCACAGCGAGGGACAGGTAACGGCCAAAGCACAGAACAGGATCACCAAAGAGGAAACAACGCCAACGCCGCAACGGCTAACGGCCCGGGGATGCCCGCATCGGCCAAAAGCACTAAAGCACGGGAATCTACTCTCCTTCACTTCGTCTACGTCTCAGCTTAGAGAGTGGGGGACTCCTGATGGAGTATATGGGTCTGAGCCCCCGGACCCACATACTCGGAAGAACAGAAAGCACAAGACACAGAGTGGCGCCCTCGTCGGCCAAGACGCCCCCGTCGGCCGAAAAGGGACCAACTCAGATTATGGTCCTGAGCCCAAGGAACCCGGGTGCCCTCGTCGGCCGCGCCCTCGTCGGCCGTGCCCTCGTCGGCCACAAGGACCTCCCAGAACCGGATTTTGCACTTATTTATTTGTATAGCCCATTAGCGGCTTTGTATTCGGCCCAGTAGCGGTCCAGTTGTAAATGGGCCTCCCAAGCCCAAGGCTTGGGAGCCCAGCCCGTATTTTCTCTATAAATACTCCCCTTGGGAGTAGTTATAGGAGTTACAAAATCATTCTATTGAAGCATATTATTGCACTTCTCTCTCTAGCTCTCACTTCTCTCTAGATATACTCTATCACCTAGTAGTACTTAAAAGAGCTCAATCAGCACCACTATTCGTTCAATCATTTTTAAATGTCCACACGGTGACTTTGGTTTTTCGCTCAAAACTTCTAGGGCCTTGAGTATTCGCCATGTTTGAGGCATCAATTGCGACGGGGGCATCTTAATGGATACAAGAAATCCTTGAACCAGTGGAGAAAATGGGAGTAGCGGTCCGATTTTGAAAGGATATGAGAAGAAACTAACCCAACCAGGGAAGAACCAGTCCACTCTCTTCAGGAAAATGGATTCTCGCTGCTTCAAGGAAGCCAAACGAAGATTGAATAGGTGTGATGTCTTTTATCATAAGAGAAGCTCGTCTAGAGTTCTTTGGGTCAAGAATGCTAGTAGGGGAGAACCTGACGGCGGCCATGGCGAAAAACACCGGAAGGGAGAGATTCAGGAGAGTTCAAAATGAAAAATAAAAGACAGTTCGAAGAAAAGTTAGTGGGCGGAGAAATGCCGTTTAAATTCATGATGACGGTCTCTTTTCACGCGCACCAACCCTTGTCATCATGAACTTGGGCAATTGTTGGGCCCAAGAATGAATGTGAGGAGCAGGAGGGGACAGCCCAATTTGGAAGGATTGCGAAGCTAAATTGATAAGCATGACCCATTTTGAGAGAAGAAGATAGCTACGGCTACGCCCAATTGGTTTCCGTATGTGAAAGAAAAAATTCTCACTTTTGATTTGAGCCATAAAGGGCAATGATTGGAATAGAACGAATGGTCTGACTAAGTACCAAAATCCTCAGGCATCAGCTCCATAGATCTCAACCTTCCACGCCTCGGGTTGAGACTTGAGAGACTGTTATCTCCGACTCTTTCGCTCACGCTCTTTCCCACAACCACTCTATTTCATTTCCCGTCCCCGATTTCAGGTAATGTTCCTCTCCCGCATGCCATCTATGGTAATGGATACACATAGATGTTGTTTTGACGCACTTTCATCGCTTCATTTCTGTATAATAATCTATATGAGTTAATCAATGTTTCCGATCCGTTAGAGCGAAAATGTTCGGGAGCAGTGTTGGAGCTGAGCTTTTGGCAGAAGGCGCCTCTGATCTGATGGTCAATGTGTCAGAGCCGGTGCCTCCCTTGGCGGAATCCGACGTTCTGCATCCGCGCACAGCCGGGAAGAGGACGATAGTGCTAGGGCGGAACGTGCACACCACGTGCCTGGAGGTCACCGAACCCGATGCCGACGACGAAACCACCGGAGATAAGGAAGCTTATATGGCCGGCGTCTTGGCTCGTTACCGTAAGAGTCTTGTTGAGCGAACCAAGCACCATCTAGGTTCGTTCAGCTACCTCCTTTACATATTTACTGCGTCTTTATTTTAATAGTGTTATAAATATAAAAATTGTTGTTGTGTTTTGAATAAAATAAAGTGAAATAACATGATCTAAACGATAGAGTGGATACACAAATCCCAACAACAACCATTGATAAAGGATTTTGGTACTTAGTCGTACCCAACACATTTCAACCATTAAATATTCATCTCGGATAACTCAATAAGAAAAGTGAGGCAATCAAAATGGGATGGGAGGAGTGTGTGCTACGGATTGTATTTTTGTTGCTAGGAACCTAAATGGGGTACCGTACCTATCATTAATTTGATTGGATCACATCACTTTATCATTTTTAATTTAGATTTAAATAATTCAACTGCTAGATTCTCATTGGTACCATAGAATCTACCTTTTAAAAATCCAAAATGCAAATATTTAAAATTACTGAATAATACTCCAGACAACAATTGTTAAGCTAACATGACCGAAGATTGCTAACATTTCATCTTTCTTCCATTTCATCACAATTATAACATGGCCTTTTTGCCCGTGTTACAAGGAATGCATGACCTATGACCTATGACCTATGTGTGACAAGGTGATAACGACCCCAGACAACAAACGCAAGTGTTATAGCCATACCAACCTACCATCATAATCAGGAGCGAAACCAGACAGAAAATCTGACCACTCTATGTGGCATCCAACATACAATAGTTGTTACTCAAAAAAGAATCAAACCGAAACAAATACAAAAATGAATCTCAAATAAAAACTAAAAACTTGAAGAAATGCAACTTCTTCATTCTTTTCCAAACCCAAGAGAGCCCCTCAGCCCCCAACCTTTCATTTCAGCCTTCACCTACCCACTTGACCCCTAGCCAGCCACCCCTGCCCTCAGTGACATTGGTAGAGTTGGCCTCGAGATCACCGTATTTACTCCACTGCGCAAGGAAATAGTATATATATATATATATATATGAAATTTTCAATACATGACCTGAAAGATAGACAAATTATCAATCAGGACCTAAAAGGTGAAATGTATCAATATAGGACCTGAATGATGGAAAATTATCAATTTAGGACCTGAATGATGGAAAATTATCGATTTAGGACCTAAATGATTGAAAATTATCTATCTAGGACCTAAGTTGTCATGAATTTTTTTATTATTTTTTTCAAAATTTTTTAATATCATTTAGTTTTATTAAAATAATAAACTTTTGTGAAGAAAATGTTATAAAAATTCAGCAATGAAATTAATAAAAACTAGAAAAAATTGATTGTAATAATCCCAACTATTGGCGGTCCGCTTATAATAATCTCAACTATCGATTATATCAGAATAATCCCAACTTTAGTGACCTTCCGCCAATAATGGTCTGACATGATCGACTATAAGTAAATTCCTATAATTTCTAAACTCGATGAGAAGAGATATAACAAGTAATCCCTATAAATAATTCAACTTTTAATTTTTACGCTTTATTTCTATTTAAAATTCACTTGTTATAGCAGGTCATATCTGGTCATGGACCATTATTGGCGTAAGGTCATTAAAGTTGGGATTATTCGGAGATAATCGATAGTTGAGATTATTATAAGCGGACCATTAATAGTTGGGATTATTATAAGCGGACCGTTAATAGTTGGGATTATTATAGTAAGTGCCTTATTATTTGGACTTCTATTAGGGCATCCTCATTGGGAGGATTATTATGAGATTAATTTGGTGACATGGAAGTTTTTTTAGGGAATTATCATTGAGTGACATAGATTATTTAATGAGATTATTTGCTACAATAATCTGGGATCAAAATATGAATCCGGATTATTTTAAGATTATTTGAAAAATATATGTAATAGAGATTAATGCAAGACAGAGAAAAAATAGATTATTTGAAGATGGTGATTGAGAGACATAAACGAATTTTGAGATTATTTTATAATTAATTATATAACAATATTTAAATGGTAAGAATCATAGAAAAAATTGATTATCAGAGATCATGAATGGAGATGCTCTTAAATGAGTTCAATGTTTCGGTGTCCTCCACAGTGAATCACATCTGAGAATATTTTGCCTTCTTGTTTGCACTCATGCTCTTGCATTTAATGTGTTTCCGTCTCCACACTGAGTTAGTGAGTTATTATTTTGGTTCACGTTTCTTATTATTTTGATTTCGAGGTGTCTAATTTTACAGGATATCCGTACAATCTGGATTTTGATTATGGAGATCTTTCACAGTTGCAGCATTTTTCCATTAACAACCTTGGTGATCCATTCATTGAGAGCAACTATGGTGTCCACTCGAGGCAATTTGAAGTGGGTGTTTTGGATTGGTTCGCACGTTTATGGGACATTGAAAAAAATGAATACTGGGGATACATTACGAACTGTGGGACCGAGGGAAATCTTCATGGAATTCTTGTTGGGTTAGTATATTTGGCATTTTGGTTGTAGGGGATATTGTACTTTTCTATTGATTTTTGTCCATGATCATTCACATATTAAAAACATTAATTCACTTTGCAGGAGAGAAGTCTTTCCTGATGGAATTTTGTATGCTTCAAGAGAATCACATTATTCAGTTTTTAAAGCATCACGAATGTATAGAATGGAATGTGTTAAGGTTGACACTCTTATCACTGGTGAAATTGATTGCGCAGATTTCAAGGACAAGCTTCTTCTTAACACAGATAAACCCGCAATTGTTAATGTTAACATTGGTATGACCTCCTTTTGCTTCTGTTTGACCATGACACATGTAACCTACTTACAAGTTACAACATGTTGCTTGTTTGCTTGATTGTTCATTTTCTTTCTCTTATCACAGGCACAACTGTCAAGGGGGCTGTTGACGATCTTGATCTAGTCATCCATACACTTGAAGAATGTGGGTATTCACATAATCGGTTTTATATACACTGTGATGGAGCACTCTTTGGGCTTATGATGCCATTTGTGAAACGTGTAAGTAAATGTTACGTTTGTTTCGACTTTCTACAACATAGTAGTCCATAATTCATACTACCTCTGTCCCAATTTATTTTTGCAAAGTCAACATTTTTTAGTGAGTTTTTGCCACGTTCGATCCCCCAAATATTATGTAAGTGACACTTTTGGTACTCGACTTCTAATTTTTTCATTTTTAGTCCTTGACTATTGTGCTAGAGACGCTTTTAGTCCCGGACTTCAAGATTTCCCACATTTAGTCCCCTGATTATTGCCAAATTGACACTTCTAATCCTCCCATTATGATTTAGACACAATAAATGGAGGACTAAAAATGTCACTATTATAATAGTTGAAGGACCAAAAGTGTCACTTTTATGAAAGTTGAAGGACTAAATATGGAAAATTTCAAAGATGGATACCAAAAGTGTATCTAGCGCAATAGTAGAGGACTAAAAATGGAAAAAATCAAAGTCGAGTACCAAAAGTGTCAATGACATAATAGTCGGAACACTAAAAGTGGCAATAACTCTTTTTTGGTCAATCGAAGTTAAAGTTAAACCTCCCTATTGATAAATAAATCAATTTTAATAATTAAAATTTACATTTCAGAAACAAAATTAAAATCACTATAAAGTTGCAAAATCCAAATTAAAATTTAATTAAGAGTTGATATCCCAATTATGTGATGAGACTGTTTGATCCAAAAAAAGTCAAATTTGGGATGGAGTATAACCTATATACACGATGCTAGATGTCTTTCTTGGAAAATTACATAAATAGGACTGAAGTATGGGTGGACTCGGGTCGGGTCGGGCCACTGATTCAGAATAGTTGGGCCTGGGACCGGTCCGGGTAGCCACCGGCTCCGGTCCGGGCCGGGCCTCGAGCCACTTCCTATTTTTTTTTCCTAATTAATCCCCCAATACCCCCCTCACCCCCACCCCCCCTCACCATCCCAAATGGCCCAAAACACCCAGCCCAACCTTGAAAACTAAAAAAAAGAAAAAAATAAATAAATAAAGGCCCGGAACCGGGCCCGGCCCGGCCCGGCCGGTTCATCATTTGGCGGATCCGAGCCCGCAACGTAAAACCACCGGGCCGGGTCTACCCGGGCCGGGCCGCCGGGCCGGAACAGTACCGTTCCCGGGCCGGTGCTGGCTCAAGCCACCCGGCCCGAGTCCACCTCTAGACTGAAGTATAAGTGTATAACATATTTACATAAGTAAGACTACCATTATTGTTTTTGGAACAGATTGAGGCATATACTTTGCATAAAACAAAGATACTCCTATTGTGCACATGTGACATGACTCATGTTCTCTCCTTCATTTTTTTCTTTTTCATTTACCCAGTGCCGCAAAGGCTCCCACCTACGGTGGGGTAAAGGGGGGTCGGATGTACGCAGTCTTACCCCTGTACTAAAGCACATAGAGACTGTTTCCGGATGACCCATAGTGAAAATCCTGTCCAAAATTGCATGGACTGACTGCTGCTTCAAAACAAAGAAGCGCACACAGTTTAGTGAGCCATTTTGCTTTATTCCATCATAATCTCAAGCCAAAAAATAATGAATCTTTGGCACCATTGCAAATGATGGAAAAACTCATGTTCTCTCCTGTTTACATTATTTTTGTTCTTTATTTCTGTGCTTATAACGCCACAATGAAACTAGCAAATAAATGCAGTTTGTCAAATAATATATTAACTTGAACTGGGATGATGGTGTAAACAGGCACCAAAAGTTTCTTTCAAGAAACCAATTGGCAGCGTCAGTGTTTCTGGTCACAAGTTTGTGGGGTGTCCAATGCCATGCGGTGTTCAAATAACAAGGCTAGACCACATCAACGCACTCTCAAGGAATGTGGAGTACCTTGCTTCAAGGGATGCCACCATCATGGGAAGCCGAAATGGCCACGCTCCAATCTTTCTTTGGTACACCCTGAACAGAAAAGGTTACAAGGGCTTCCAGAAAGAAGTCCAAAAGTGTCTTAGGAATGCACACTACCTAAAAGACTGCCTTAAAGGGGCTGGAATCAGTGTCATGCTCAACGAGCTTAGTAGCACTGTTGTCTTTGAGAGACCTAAAGATGAGGAATTTGTTCGCCGATGGCAGCTTGCCTGCGAAAGAAACATGGCACATGCTGTCGTGATGCCTAATGTGACAATCGACAAGCTGGATTGTTTTGTTAGTGATTTGGTTCAAGCTCGGTTGGACTGGTACAAAGATGAAAACGTGAAACCTCCTTGTCTTGCAGCAGATATTGGGATGCAAAACTGTTGTTGTCCCCTGCACAAATGATATATGCCGCCTCTTAATCCATAAAGTTACCTTTTTGGTCTCTCTTTTCCTGCGGTAGGGGAGGATCTTTGATTTACGAAATATCTATCACGTGTAATTTCCTATTTTGCAAACAAAATATGTATTAAGTTTGCATCTGCTGGACTCTATTTGAAACCAACTGAATGCCATCCACCACAAACTTTCGTGAGTTTAGTTTAGGGAGGTCCACCAGTTATGGACTTCCTTCTCCCAATGGTCAAGTTTTTTCCATGTCCATTTTTAGTCCTACAGCTATACAGCAAATTTAGCGTGAGAGAACTGACTGAACCGTTGGACGGTTCAAGTTTTACCAAAAAAAAAAAAAACTCAAACCTTTCCTATAGTTATGAGTAACACCTTTGGATTTGAACCAGAACCTTAATAGGATAATTTTGTCCGAGTTATGACATAGAAGTAGGGATAGACCCAAGTTTTTCCGGTTCCGGGCTGAGACTGCTCGGCCCGGGAAAAAGAATTCTTGAAGCCCGGGTACAAGTGTACAACCTGTTTAGTTCCGGGTCGGGGCTGGTTTAGGGTACCTAGCCGGTCTGTTCCCGGTTCCCATTATTTTTTTCTAGTTTTTTGGCAAGTTCAAAACCTAAAAATTTCATATTGGAACTGAAACCTGAATTCCCCAGTTCGGTCTCCAGAACTGTAAATCGGGGTCATGAAATGCTCAAGGATTGATAGGGCCGGTCCTAGGCTCGAAACCATTCTAAATATTCTCATTTCGGTTCCAAACAGTGTCAGAGTGCCAGACCTGGTTATGGATCAAGCTGTGTCCACCCTACTTACAAGTTGCAACCATGTTCATAGGGATGGACCCAACCGGACCAAACCGGCTCGGGAACCGGACCGGACCGCTTCTGTGCGTGCCAAGACCGGACCGAGAACGGATGGCCGGTTTTGAGCTTTAGCCCGGTTTGGGCAGGCCTGACGGGCCGGGCTCAGACCTTGGTTTTCACGAACCGGCTTGGGCGGTCCGGGCCAGGCTCGATTCATTTTTTTTTCAATTTTTTTTCTTTTCCTTAGGTAGGGCTGGCCCGACCGGGTGTTTTGGGGAGGTTTGAGGGGTGGGGGTGAGGGGTTAATTAGAAAGAAAAAAATAAAATACATTTAGCCGGCCCGATTTGGCCCGGACCCGGTATCAATCCAGGCCGGTTCTGGGCCCAACATCTTGAAAAAAAAAGCCCGGCTTGAACGGGCCCAGTCCATGCCTACATGTTCATCCCTAATGTGTTAATGAGACTTGGGGACATTCGATGGTGCTCACTACAGATTAGGGATGGACTAAACCGGGTCGGGTCGGCCCGACCCGGCCCGCTACTGTGCGGGCCCGAATCGGATCGGGACCAGTTGGCCGGTTCCGGGCTTTTAGCCCGTTTGGGCGGGCCGGGCTCGGGCCAAGTTTTGGGCGAACCGGCCCGGGTGGTTCGGGCCGGGCCCGAGTCAATTTTTTTTTTTTTTTTTTCAATTTTTTTTCTTTTCCTAGGGTAGGGCTGGGTGTTTTGGGGAGGTTTGAGGGTGGGGTGAGGGGAGGGTCGGGGGATAACAAGAAAGCAAAAAAAAATAGACATTGAACCGAGCCCGGCCCGGCCCGCTTAGGCCCGGACCCGGTATCAACTCGGACCAGTTCCGGGCCCAAGGATTTGCAAAAAAAAGCCCGCCCGAGCCCGACCCAGAACCGGACCGGCCGGGGTCCATCCCTACTACAAATTTGGAACAGGTGCTACGTGTGTATGTTTCCTTTTACATAAATAACTCCCATTGCACCAAAGTACCAAACATAATGATCTCTTCTTTTTCTCTGTCTTTCCTAGCCCCATTTCCCCTCCTATCATCATTTAAGGCGTGTAGGAAACCTGGGGGGCGTAAGTGTGTAACTTATCTGGTAGGAAGAAAATGCCACAAGAGAGGTCTCAAACTCTCAAATTCAACTTCAAACAATGACATGGGATGAAACCTTACTCTCTTTTCATTAGAGTGAGTTGAAAGCTCGATTTACATCCTCCGAGATAACTGTCTGGTCAGAGGATTCTTTAGGGATGGGGTCACATCCATTTTTTGGCTCAATGCACTTTAAATCCCTGGGTCTCAAGTCTCAACTGGTTCCATTTCTAATCCCAACTTTTAATTTTTAATTTAAAAAAACACACCTCCAATGATCGTTTCCATCATTTACAATGGATCCAAAGATTAACTTTTTTTGGCTTGAGAATATGATGGAATAAATCAAAATGGCTCACTAAACTACGTGTGCTTCTTTATTGTGAAGCAACAATCAGTCGATGTATTTTTTGACACAATTTTCACTATAGATCATTCGAAAACAGTTTCTTTGTGCTTTAGTACATGGGTAAGACTACGTACATCCAACCCCTACGGCCCTACCTCACCGTAGGTGGGAGCCTTTGTGACACCAGAGTAATGATGATGATGACCTCCGGTGGTCAAAAGAGTCATTGGAATGAGGACTCCGCCCTTTTTCAACTACTTCCCAAGTCCCAATCCATAGTAGAAGCAAAAAAAAAATCAAATTGGGACCATACCGGACAATTCCGGTCCCCATTTTTAGAAACCCGATACCAGGACCCTATCCCCCCTGTTACGGTTCTGACTGGGAACCGCAGGACCTGAACCATGGTTCTCTACCATTGACTAACGTGTACCTTGAAATGTCTACTCTCAATCTCATTTAGAAAATCCATCCTAGTGTGTAAGTGTGTTTTCTAAACCCCGGTCTTTGCTTTGTCTACTCTCAATTGGAGTGCATTCCTTGCTCCAAATTCCAAACCCCGGTCTTTGCTATGTTTTCTCAACTGTGCAACTTTCAAATCATTACATTTCCCCTTCAGGCTTCAGATAAGGAAGGTTATACAGTTACAACAATAAAACCTATATAGTCAACTCAATAAAACCTGTGCGGAAAAAAAAAACTGAAAAAAAAACATCCAAGGGAAATGAACCAATTCCCTGGATCGGAAAATATAACCGGAAGACTGAAACCCTCTTCCCTCGGAACAAGACTTCAAATCAAATGGTATGCATAAAATTACACAAGTACAATGTGAAACTGATGTCACATTTTTACCTTTGGGTGGAAATGTGCAAGACACCCTCACCCCAGAACTATCAACTTGACTGAAAATTATCTTACAATTGCAGTGTGTTCACTTGCTTCCAGAGTCATGAGGTTCCCCAAATTTACCAATCAGACTATACTGGGTGCATCGCCTTCCCAACTACAAGTGGCACGGGCCCAACGTGTCCGAATACAGTCAACTAAAGGAGCATGCTGAGAAACTTCAGTGATAGTGTCCTTTATTGCCCCTGAATCAACTTTAGTAGAGTCAGACCGTGCTGGAGCATCAGACATGAATTCCTCCGGGGTCCACTTTGGGGGAACTAAAACCCTTAACTTAGTCAATCTTGGTCTTTGTACGGGAACTTCACTTCCAGATGATGCCTGGTTCCCGCTCAGAATTGATTTTGCAATTCCATTGAAGTGGTAAAGATCAAATACCTTTCCCCCCAGTAAACCACTTGAATCTTTAAACCCTCCCAGGCTCTTGTCTAGATCCAAAAGAACCTGCCAAAAATCGCTCCACACGATGAATCCACTAGAGCTAAGGTTTTCAAGCTTCTCAGCTGGGAGATTAATATTAGTGTCCCTAAGGACTTGATGGAAGCCTTCCACACTAATGAATCCCCCACCACCACTTTGATCATGTGCATCAAATGCTCTTCGGATCTGTGCCTCTCTGCCTTCAAGTTCATTCTCTTCTTGAACTTTGGTGTCCAGAGCAAATAGGACCGTATAATGAGATTCACTTCCAACAACCCAAATTGGCCATCTGGGACACTTTAAATACTGGCCAACCTTACAGTAGTTTAAGGACTCGAGCAAAGTAAGGAATCCTACTTCAACGGGGTTTGATATCCCCTTCACAAACATTCCACCGCCCAAGTCCATCATTCCATCAAACACATTCGCCACAGCCTTTCCACATAGCAAAAGGTTTACAATTTCCTATTACGGAAAATATCAAGGTTCAACATAACTGCTAAGGGACATTATTGTTAACTTATATTAAAGAGATTTACGGTTTGCCAATAGCAAGAGAAATGTCATTTATTGCTGCCTGGGTCACCTGAGAAGCATGCCCGAAAGGAGCGGTGACCAATGGTTGTGTCGGATCATCCCTGTCGGCCTGAACAGAATCCTACTTGAACAAAACAAATTGTTAACCCACCAAGTAAGCCAGCAAAGAGGCAACCAAATAAGTGTGAACCGTGGGCTTCAAACATTTATTATCATTTATCACACAGCTAATAACGAACCGTTGACATGCAATCCATGCATGCACATTAAATTAATGCTGAAACACCTATAATACTCTAAATTTGTTATTTACATTATCAGACTCGCCACCGGAAAAGTAAACAGAGAATTGTGGATTAATAAGACCGTGAGATAAACAAACTAATAGATTGGATTTAATCTTTTATCGTTGAAAGTTTATGACGGTACTAGAACAGATTTTGGCCCACTTTGTTCAGCCATTTGATCATCTGGAAGTCCATCCGTCTGCAAGTCAATCGCAAGGGTCCGTGAACCTTTAGCCCAGTCGTCTATCTGCAACTCCAACTTCAGAGGCTTGTGGCCCATATAACCCAGTTGACTATATGGGAGTCCAACTTGAGCAGCTCATTGTCGATTTGTCGCTTAAGTGTTGTTGGGATATTTTTAGTTTCAATTTTACGGGGAGAGTCCAATTTACAAGTGTCAAAATGCCTCGGTTTTCTACATGACGGGATGTTTAGGTCCCCACATCAGAAAACTAACGAAAGAATGATAGTTATTATGACTTTGGCTTGGAGAAGCAAATACATTGAAATCAATATTTTTGTGTCATTTGAACTAAGTATCATATGGCCGAATTCAGTGACCCAATGCATTCCTAAAATTCTACCATGTATTTACCGGTTTTGTTAAAAAAGTATTTATGATGACCTCTTTTCATGTGAACTGTGGTACTACAAACAATGAATGCATATTTCACATTAACATACTGCTACAAGGCATTGACGTAAACCATTTTTTTAAGTTAAGAGCACTTAATTGAGACATAGAGTAGTTGCTATATTAAAAAATGATGAAAAGGTGAAAGGGATCTTAGTCAAAAAATGACTTACCACTCCACGAGAAAGCAGAGCAGATATTAGAAACAGCATTGCTCCCATACGACTTCGGTATACAGGAAGCATGGCTTCAATCCTATTAAGGGCACTTGCTTGTGAAGTGTATTCAGTAACACTCAGAATGTTGTGAAAATCCAGGCCCGATTCAATTGTAAGACCATCAAGTGCTTTTGCAATGCCCTATATTGATAAAGACACGGTTATTAAAAAAATCGTGTAGATATTTTTATTACCTGCAATGGCTGATTCCCATTGGTAAGTACTTATTTAAACCTTGCTGAATGCCAAAACTATGTTTTTACAACTTAATATTTTTTAGCGACTAATCCATCACTTTTTATTGTTCCAGGGATTTTTTTAGGAATCTGCGAGGTGTAAAAAAAATGGAAAAATGCTTGGTGTACACCTTTGGAACACTGGTCTGTCTACGCTGAGTCGCAGACAGAGATGTCTCTAACATGCAATACTATAGCACACCTCCTAAAGCTTGGGCAGCATATGCTCCTGGCTTAATGTAAACCTTAAACTTAAAATACCAGAAACTTGGACTTGTAACAAAAACGTTGCAAATTGAAAACTTTAAATTAACATGACAAAACTTGATTCAAGTTGCACTTAATCTGATTTAATGACCAAACATACACCTTAAATTTTTTCTAACCGCTAATACACTCCCTGGATACAGAAATAATGACCTACCTACACCTAATGGTCTAATCCCTAAGGTTTCTAATAATATACTCCCTCCGTCCCATTGGAATGTTCCCGTTCGGTTTACACTCCGCTTATTTTTAGTAAATAAAATTTACATATTCAGAAACTACATTAAAACCGCTACAAAGCCTGATCAAGAAAAGTTCAATTTGATAAAAATTTGATATATAAAGTAAAAGATTAGGAGTGACCTAAGTTGACCGATGAATAGTGAACAAGAACATTCCAACGGGACGGAGGGAGTACTATAACAATATTCCTAAAGCTGGATTATCATATGCTTGTGGGGCAATCATGTCCTCCAAGCTTGATAGAAACCTTAACTTAAACATGATTATTACGAACACTAAATCGCACCAAAAATCTTGAATATTACTCGACTTAACTTGATAAATTGATTTATGTTGCACACTTGCACTCCAATAAAGTATAAACCATATAAGGTTTCACTTGCAGTTTACGATGCTTGACCGACGACAAAGCAAACGGATCCCGATCCGCACTCAAATTATTTTTAGAGAAAAAAATTACATATTCAGAAACTACATTAAAAGCTTTACAAAGTCGCAAAACCCAGAATCAAATTTGATATATAAAGTAAGAGATTAAAAGTGATTTGTGTTCGACCAAGTGAGAACTGGGACAATAATAGTCGGACGGAGGGAGTAAGTTACAAAATAAATATAGTTAAATACAATATTATATATAATTATATATATAATCATGTCATCATCATCATCATCACCTAGTGCCGCAAAAACTCCTACCTACGATGAGGTAAGGGGGGTCGGATGTACACGGTCTTATCCCTGTACTAAAGCACAAAAAGACAGTTTCCGGATGACCCAAAGTGAAAACGCGTCGAAAATTGCATGAACTAACTGTTGCTTCATAACAAAGAAGCGAAAACAGTTTAGTGAGTCATTTTGCTTTATCCCATCAATTTTCCAAGCCGAAAAATAGTGAGTCATTGGCTTCATTGCAAATGATAGAAAAATACATATATAATGTGCGACTAGTCGCCTAATTGCCGTCTAGGAGGGTGCCTTGTCACCCCGGCAATATGGCGGTCGGCGCCACGACTCGCCTTACCATCGTGACAAGTATGTAATTAAGTACTTCCTAATAGAGAAGAGAACAAATGTTTTGAATATATTTCTGTGTGTTAAAACTGGTTTACAAGGCTGCTATTTATACATCTCTTAATCATGTATATAAGGTAAACAATAATACTATAGTACATGCCAAAGATATGTAACGGTTAACTACAATATTGTGTTCTAAATACAAATTATTTCTTTCCTTCAATACGCCCCCGCAAGCCAGGTATTCTGTCACTGCCAAGAATCCTGAGCTTGTCTCTAAGAAGAATGAAGCGTTGCCGGGGGAGCGGTTTGGTGAGGGCATCAGCTATCTGATCAGAGGATGGAATGTGATGAACTTGAAGAAGTCCACGTTGAACCCGCTGTCGAACAAAATGAAAGTCAATTGCCACATGTTTCATGCGAGTGTGGAAGACAGGATTTGCTGAAGACGTAGTGGCACCTTTGTTATCACAAAGGAGGAGTGGAGGAGAAGGGAGCGGGTGCCGCAACTCACGCAACAGAGATTCAATCCAAATAATTTCAGAGGCAGCAGTGGAAAGAGCTCGATATTCAGCTTCCGTGGAAGACTTAGCAATGGTACGTTGCTTAACTGATTTCCAAGATATAAGAGATTCCCCGAGAAAAATGGCATTGGCGCTAGTAGAAGAACGGTCATCAGGGTTCTCTGCCCAGTCAACATCAGCAAAGGCACGGAGAGAGGGGGATGTGCTAGGACAGAGAAACAGGCCATGAGAAGCAGTTCCCTGTAGATAGCGCAAAAGACGTTTGAGAAGTTGCCAATGATTGACTGTAGGTTTATGCATGAATTGAGCCAGTTTGTTAATAGCAAAGGCAGCATCTGGACGGGTAAGATTCAAATATTGAAGTGACCCGAGGACCTGGCGATAGAGAGTGGCATCACATGAACCTGAACTGTCAAACAGAGTTAATGAAGCAGAGGGGGCTAACGGCGTAGCTACCGGATTGGCCTCATCCATTTTTAACATTTTTAATAAGTCCATAATGTATTTATGTTGATCAAGGAAGAGTCCGCCCTGTGTAGGAGTAACCTGCATGCCCAAGAAATAGTGTAAGGAGCCAAGATCCTTGATAGAGAATCGGTGGGCCAATGAGTCAATAGTCTGACGTATCAAGTCGGGTGTAGAGCCAGTAACAATAATATCATCCACATAGATCAAAACATAGATGTAAGATGGATGGGAGGAAAAAATGAACAGACTAGCATCAACAACCGATTGATAAAACCCAAGTGACAGAAGAAAGCCACTAAGAGATTGATACCACACACGAGGTGCCTGTTTAAGGCCATAAATAGATTTCCGAATACGACAAACAAACCCAGAACCATCATTAAAGCCCGGAGGTTGCTTCATGTAATCTTCCTCCTGAAGAGTCCCATGTAGGAATGCATTATTGACATCTAACTGATGTACTGGCCAACCATGAGAAAGAGCAATAGTCAGAACAATACGAATGGTAACCGGTTTGATGACCGGACTAAAGGTGTCGGAATAATCAATCCTAGGGCGCTGGTGGAAGCCCTTAGCCACTAGCCGAGCCTTATAGCGATCCAAGGAGCCATCCGGTTTATACTTCACTGTATATACCCATTTACAACCCACAATATTCTGACCAGGCTGAGCCGGAACAAGATCCCAAGTGCCCTGTCGAACCAAGGCATCAAATTCTACTGTCATAGCACTCCACCATTTTGGTACCTGCATAGCTTGAGAAGCACAAGTGGGAATTATATGGTGAGGTAAAGGATCAACAGTGGCAACATTGGCTTGTTTACGGGGTCGAAGGGTCATCGGATGGGTACGTTTGGGCGGTGGAGTATCGAGGGGTGGATTTGAGGTAGTGAGATCAGTGGCAGGTAAACGAGTGGGGGAATAGGAGGATTGGGTTTGGGTCAGCGTTGGTAAGTAATAATTTGTGGTGGTGTGGGTTTAGGGAGGGGAGAAAGCGGGATATCAGTTTGAGTAGAGGAAGTGGGTGACATGTCAAGAGTCAATTGTTGAGCCGAGGTATGAGTAGGAGGAGACGCCCCCGCAGCCAGAGTACCTGAAATGGGAAAATAAGACATAGAAGGCTGAAGCCAGTGATCAACTTCAGAAGTGATATTTGAGACGGGTGGTGAGGATGTAGAAAAAGGGAAGACTGACTCATCAAACACAACATGTCTCCTGCAAAGATACGGTAGGTGGTAAGATCAAGACAACGATAGGCACTTTGTTGGTCACAATATCCCAGGAAGACACATGGTTTGGAGCGTGGTTCTAATTTATGAGTGGTATAGGGACGTAACCACAGAAAACATTGGCACCCAAAAACAGCAAGTTTAGTGTAATTAGGAGGTTGTTGGAAGAGTTTTTCATATGGAGTGCAGAAGTTAAGAGAGAGAGCAGGTTGTCTATTAATGAGATAAACTGCGGTAAGAAAAGCATAAGACCAATATTTAAGAGGCATAGATGCATGGTGAAGTAGGGTGATACCAGTTTCCACAATGTGACGATGCCGACGTTCAGCAAAGCCATTGTGCTCTGGAGTGTAGGGAGGTGTAAATAAATGAGAAATCCCACATGTGCTTAAGAATTTCCCTAAGGTTATGTATTCGCCTCCCCCATCAGAATAAATTGTTTTAATTGTGCGTTGAAAAAAGTTTTTAACAATCTTTTTAAACTTTTGTTATAGGATAAAACCAAATATATTTGGTATAATGATCAACAAAGATAACATAGTAACGAAAGCCATCAATAGAATTAACACGAGCGGGACCCCATACATCTGTATAGATTAAATCTAGAGGTCCAAAGCTCGAAAGAGATGATTTTGCAAATGACAGCTTATGGCTTTTATTACTAGCACACGAGACACACAAAGAGTTATTCGAAGTAACATCGGAAAAGGAAATACCTAAGGACGACAAAAAAAAATTAGTAATAGGGAGGGCTGGATGTCCTAAGCGACAGTGCCAATTATTAAGGGAATATTTGTGTGTGATGTGAGCAGACGGAGATGGTGGAGGGGGTACATCTGGAAAGCTGTAGACGTCTCCTTTATTCATACCCCGTAACAAAATTGCTCCCGTTCGCCGGTCCTTAACAAGACAAAAGGAAGAATAAAATTCAATTAGTACATCATTATCACGACATAATTTGGCGACAGAAATTAAATTGGTATGAATAGAAGGGACAAAAAGGGTATTAGGTAGAGAAAGAGAGTGAAGGGTCATATGCCCAACTTGTGCTATCGCAAGACCTTTACCGTTACCAATAACGAGAGAGTCAGTGCCAGTATAATCGGATGCCAAGGTAAGATTATTCAGGTTATTGGTGACATGATTGGTTGCTCCAGAATCAAGTAACCATCCATTATGATTAGTGACAGTCGTGTTGACCCGAGGAGGATAAGCCTGTTGTTCAAACCGATGCCAACAATTGAGAGCGGAGTGGTTTGGTTTCCCACAAATTTGGCACATAATATTTGCTCCGAAATTGGGATTACTAATCCCGGAGATGTTGCGGGTTGTCATATTGTTGGTGGTACCCCGAAAAGTATTCTGGCCACGTCGGTTAGAATTTTGAGAAAAATTGGGCCGCTGGTTTCTGGGCTGACTCCCAGTAGAACCCCGGGCTGAGTTGTTTGTGCGGTTGGGCTGATAATTAGACGGGCCAGGGCCCAATAAGGAAGGTGTATTATTATTAGCCTGCCCTGGAGTTCTGCGGGTAGTAAATGCGGCATAGTCCCCCATCGCAACATTGTTCGCCGTCACCACGCCAACCGACGTATCCAGAGCCTCCTTCCGCCGCAGAGTAGCTTCGAACCCGGTGAGCAAGGCGTAGATGTTGCCGAAACTGTTATCTCCACATGTGCGAATAGAGTTTGTGAAGGATTCAAACTCAGGTCGGAGGCCCTCCATGGCTTGAAGGACGAAGTCGTCGTCATCAACAGGGTGGCCAGCCTTAGCTAATTCATCGGCGAGGGTACGGAGATGATGGAGATACTCACCCACTGCCTTAGATCCCTGTCGAGAGTGGCGGAAAACATCTTTCATATTCCGGATTTGAGCTGCTTAACGGGTGCCGTAAAGCTGCTCTAGGGTCTTCCACATCGCAGCAGAGGTACGTGCGGATCCAACCAATGGTTTGCACGCCGAGCTCAGGGAGGAGACAAGAGCATGTCGGAGGAGACGATCTTGACGATTCCACCGGAGATGGCCTGCAGCGTCACTAGCAGGTGGCGGAACAGCACCATCACTGATGTATTGGTCGAGATGAGAGCCAACCAAGAGGTCAAACACTTGGTCACGCCATATGAGGTAATTCGTTCCTTCAAGTTTTTCTGGGAAGTGACTGGGGTTGAGGATGATTAATCCATCTGGAGTGAGGGGGTTGATGACTGCAGTAGAGGAAATTGTAGAAGAAACGGTAGGCTGCCCGTTTGGGGAATTTCTGAGATCCCCTTGCTGAGGGGGGGCGTCTGCCTCCATAGGAAGAGGGAGATGGCTGGTTAGAGCTCGTGTGGCTCTGATACCATAATAGAGAAGAGAACAAATGTTTTGAATATATTTCTGTGTGTTAAAACTGGTTTACAAGGCTGCTATTTATACATCTCCTAATCATGTATATAAGGTAAATAATAATACTATAGTAAATGCCAAAGATATGTAACGGCTAACTACAATATTGTGTTCTAAATACAAATTATTTCTTTCCTTCAATACTTCCTCCGTTCTTTAATTCTTGCAACATTGTAACTTTTGCACTATTCACAAACCTTACTTTGGCCACGATTTTCTACTAATATACATAATCAAAATATTTCGTATAAAATGTTATTGAATTCCTATCAATGTGAATTTCCAAAATATCAACTTTTTATAATGTTTACTAATAAATAATTAAATATAATTACAGTCAAAGTTGTGTGTTGGCAAACGTGAAAGTCAAAGTGTTGCAAGAATTAAAGAACGGAGGATAGTATATGTTTTCTTCCAAACTAAAACTTTTGGGGCTTAAAGTATGGAGGTCAGAACCTAGGAGATATGTGAGAATTGTTTACACTTTTGCATATGCACAAAGTAGTTTGTTTATTGTTATGCAAAATAAGTGAACTTGCAAGTATACTTAGATTTTTATGGGCTTGGTAACTAAATAACAAAATATATAGATCAATAAAACTTATTTTAACCGGGACAAAAAACATAAAATATGAGGCCTAAGCCTTGAGACTTATAAGACCGTTAAAGAGTTTATCTCACAATGACTATATATCAAACATTTAATTAACATATAAGACTTGGCTACTTCACATGTTCACCTTGTTGGATTCAAACTCATGTCTTAATATGGTATTAGCCTATTAGGTATGTGTTCTTATGGAAAAAAATATCTGGTTTAGATGATTGATCAGACGAGGTGTTTGACATTGAAGGGTGTTGAATAGTTAGTACCGCACGAGTTAAATAAAAAACTAACATAAAACTTATGCCTCACATCATTCACCTGAGGCATATGCCCCAACCATTTGAGGCTAACGCCTCGCTTCATTCACCCAAAAATCATGCCTTGGTGATTTTTTCCACTGTGTGAACCTTTTTAAACCAAGCTCAGGCATTGCACATTGGTATTATGTATACCATCTACATCATCTTCCCTCTCTTCTATATTAACCTTACCGTCATTTGTCACACAACCACCACGAACATAGGAAACAGAGGCCCAATGTACGAAGTGATATCTTCGGGGGTGGGAGGATTTGGTATTGAAGGAGATATTTATAGATTTCTCTGTTATTTTGTATTAGTATTGTTACTTCACTGTGTATTTATTTCAGATGCCTTCATACTCCGACCCAAGCTTAGAAATAGTAACCACCACCAATTACTTATCTAAAAAGTTCTCCCATAAATGGAGATGAATTTTTTTACTTGACCAATTGAATATCCACTATCGGCCCCACCTAATGCGTATACTGGGTTTAGATATTAAATCTCACCCCCGAAGTGAGTGCCTGGTTGGGTTGGGTTCAAAATCACATCGGCAATTTCACCTAACCCACATTATATATTTGATATAATATTTTTATAATTGATGATAGTATCTGTGTATAATGCACACTTATAGTAATCTAAGTTCATTTCAATATAAGATAGTAATATGTGAGTCATTCACAACATTCTGATAATATGTGATGGTGAACATTATATGAGTAGCATATTTTTCAAATAAGAAAACGGATAACACAAAAATAACTGGAAAAACTTGAAAGCATACATAAAGTACTTATGTACCCATAGCTTTTTTATTGTATTCTAGACTGTGTGAAGGCTAGTCTCTAATTCATGTTGAATCACATAGCTGTGTTTACTGATATGACAATATGACATTAAACTATTGACTTGACTTTTTCCTAATCTAAATGCTGATGAGCGGCTTATGAAAAATGTGTCTACGTTTGATGTGCTAAACCTACAGTATATAAATCTATGGTTTTTAATTATTATAGTTTGACGAAACTCAGGAACTTATTGCTTGTATATCAAGGACAAACCCCACAAACATAAGCACTGAAGAAGTAGAAAGAAGGCAAAATAATGTAGAAATAAATGGGTAGAGAAGTTGTCTTTCTTTTTAAATGGATTAATCAGTGATGGATGGGATGCACAAAGGTCTTCATGAGTCCAGGAGCACATCAATGTTATGGCTATGGTGGGCTGAAGCTCAGGACAGTATTTTTTTCCTTAAATTTTGTAATAAAGTTTTTTTCATTTTTCTCATTTAGCCCACCCTGTTAGTCTTTAAGTCTAGTATAATTACTTTTGAGCCCAACACAACCTATATTTCTGGATCCTTCCCAGCATGAGTCCCAACTGAACATTTAGAATTTTGTGCCTCACCTCATCATTTGAGCTGTCAACAGAGCCTTCAAGGTCCCTATCGAGAATTCTCAAAGATGCTATAGACGCCGTTCCATTTGTTCCACATAAAAACAATATATCGGCCATACTTTTCACCAATGCTCTTTACCATGCAAAAACATAAGGGGTATTAGTCAAGCTTCCATATTCGTGCTTATGTAAAACTTTGAAGATACTTCCTCCGTCCCTTCTAACTTTGCCAATTTTCCTTTTTTAGTTGTCCCACTAACTTTGCTATTTTCCCTTTTAAATAAAAAAAAATTGCGGTTCATGCTAATTCTCCCTCCTCTCCGCAAACCTCAACCACACAGTTTTTACTTTATTACTCTACGTGCTAGTCAATTTTGGCAAAGTTACAAGGAACGGGGGTATAATATTTTTTTAGAAAAAAGACAAAATTCATATTTCAACAAAAGAATGCTCGAGGATAATCTATAAGCACGAAGATATGAAATGCTCTAGTCAATGGTAACTCAGGAATAACTTATGTGAAGTATTTAGACTGATGTTGAAACGTGAAAGGCAAGCCTAGGTCAGAATTACAAAATATACTTGGTACAAATTCACCGTTAGGAGCTGCATAATCTTGTCAATATGGACCACCGTTGTTGAAGTTTGGAATGTCATAATAGATCAAACGACATGCCACACACACACAATATGGAGATATAGGCACTTAATTTACTTTTAGCATTACTTTCCTGAAAGGCTGCTTGAGATCCTCGCATTCCAAAATGCCCAAATACCAATAGGAACACCAACGTTGCACGTAGTCCTTCAAATTGGCAATATGGACCAGACAGAGCTACTTTTATGTTCTTTCGACCACAGTGTAGAAGTTGACACACAATGGAACAAATAAAGCTAATTGTATGTTCTTTGGACAAACACTATTGAAACTTGGCACACACAGATTTAATTGGGGCATTGACGTCGGCCAGTACATTAAGGTCTATCCTATCTCTATGGCTTATGCAATGCATGTCAGAACTTCTTTCTATTAATGAAAATGCCAAGATAAAGCTGCCTACCCTATGACCCACAACTCAAAATGAACCTTACAATGAGACGCGGACATTCCCCATCTTGCGGTTCCCTCCGGTCCGTTTCGACGATGCACATTTGTTTTCAGACAAGGATACTCGCTTAACATGTACAAGTAGTGAGTACAACAGCGTGGTGTTATGTATACGGTATACAAGGACGCACTTAACATTTGCAAGTGGTGATTTCTAAAATAACACCGCAGTTTTCTTTAAATGCTACACTTGTTTATAAGTGTCTCACCATTTTTTATTTAAAAAATTCGATCGCATCCCGCCATTTTTCATCGATGACCAAAATCTGCTTAATATATAAAACCAATCAATAATTGACTTTGCATCCATATTTATATAATTGACTTTGCACCCTTATTACAAAATTGAATATTAAGGTAAAACATGGAGTGCAAAGTCTACCAAATGCGGTGAAAAGTCTCATTGAAATAGTCCACATTAGAATGCTTTGGGGTGCAAAGTTGTAGAAAATAAAACATGGAGTGTAATGTCAAAAATTGGAGTAAGCATGGGGTACTAATTCCAAATCTCCCAACTCCATAACATCGTTATCAATTTCAAACCATAGCCAATATATACGTGATGAAATGAAACTATTAATTCATTTTCAAATTTTCAAATGAAAATAAAAAACAATCCATTTACATGATCTGCTCTTCTAACATGCCAGAGCATAAAGTCTAAAGAAGCATAAGAATTGTGGCCACGGTTCAAGTATAATGCTAGTTTCACTCTGACCTTGTAAAATACTAAAATTAGTATATTAAATAAAGAAGAAAGAGATCACACAAAGTAGCCATCTTGGATTCAAATTTCTTAAAGAATAGAGATCACTCACATTGATTTCTTGTCTTCAGTAAGAGAAGAAAAAATCTCATCACCTGCATATTCATGTTTGGAGAATCCTCTCAAGCCTGTATTCGCATATATGTTTGGTGTTCCAGTATTTAATTCCCCAGGGCAAAATATAAGGTATTTTAGAAGAAAAGCCTGCACATTACGTAATTACAGCAATTTGTGAAAAGGGTAGGCATTTGGTAATGTTTTTTAGATTAATTAGTATCAACAAGATTGCACCAACCACGTGCGCATGAAAAAAGAACTCCATGAAATCATGTACACTAGTGATGTTCTTTTCAGAGTTGCTGATTGTCCAAATAAATCAAATTTCATGCCTTACAATAATTGTCTCCAAGGTACAAACATTGATACCAAAAACAATAACAAACTATGTTATACCAAACATTGATACCAAACATTGATGCCAAAAACAATAATTTCTTTTCAGAGTTGCTAATGTGCTCAAGCTTTATAGGTTTTCTTGCTATGTTATCTTATCATCCCTATAACAAAGCAATTTTTTTACAACTTCCACCGGTAGAAACTTAAGACAAAAACAAAGTACTCCATAACATGTACATAAAAATAATACTGAGAAAAGGGTCAGATAAGGCCTCAAACTTATAAAAAAATGTCAAATAAGGTCTTATATAGGAGGTTCTGTCATGCCAACGTCATTTGGGGCGGTTCCCGGTGAAATTTTTCAATGAAACTTTTTGAGCATCTTATTCATTAAGTCTACTTTACTCATACCAATATTCAGCTAAAAATTCAACCGGGAAGACATTCAAATAAATTATTGAAGATAAGTGCGCAGTTAAAAGCACAATTATCTTCAAGAATTTATTTGAATGCCTTCCCGAATGAAGTTTTAGCTGAAATTTGGTATGAGTAAACTAGACTTAATGAATAAGATTCTCACAAAATGTCATCGAAAAATTCCACGTGGAACCGCCCCAAATGGTGTAGGCCGGACAGAACCTCCTATATAAGGCCTTATTTGACATTTTTTTGTAAGTTCGAAGCCTTATCTGACCCTTTTCTCAAATAATACTCTATCCCAAAAAATAGAGTCTTGTTTCAAGAACCTTTTTTGCCCCAAAAAATGGTCTTAGAAGTCAAGTTTCATTTTTAAGTCATCTTCCACTATGGTGCATGATGTTTGATGATGATATTGTATTGATTGATGAGACACAATCGGGTGTTAAAGCAGAGTTGGAAGTATGGCGAGTTGGCGATAAACCAATGGTATATGGAGTGCAAATTTGGTGGGGTAGAACCAATGGTAACAGTGGGATTACCCCCATCATCTCTAGATGATAAGGAGATGCTGGTCAATGATATGTTCCGTGACTTGGACTCCATAATTCAGAAGAATGGTGAACTAGATGGAGATGTATCTCATAGAATCAGAACAGTGTGGATAAAATGGAAGCGTGTGTCAGGATTTCTATGTGATCGGGATATGCTAACTAAACTCAAGGCTAAGTTTTATTGAACAACATTTAGGCCTGCATTACTGTATGCGTAGAGTGTTGGACAGTGAAACAACATTCAAAAGATGAGTGTGACTGAGATGCGTATATTGTGTTGGATGTGTGGACATACTAGAAAAAACTGCTTAAGTAATGAGACAAAAGTGATGCACCTATTGAAAATAAGATGGGAGAGTCTCGATTGCGGCAGTTTGGTGAGCGTAGAAAACTGAGTGATGCACATGTTCGACGAGTTGATAGGTGAGGGGAATAGGTAAGGTAGAGAGGGAGAGGAAGAACCAAACGGACATGAATTAAAGGAGTCAGAAATGGTTCTTTCTTTTCGGGTTAGATGAATGTATGACTTTGGAGGATTTATCTCTTTTCATCATTATTATCTTTTTATCTTTCTTATGTTCTTTATCCTTTTATTCTTTTTTTATATTCTATCATCCTTTTTTATCTTATCATTTTTATCTTTATCTTATACTACCTCCGTCCCGAAAAGGTTCGCCAAATTGACTTTTCTTGGTCAATGGTGACAAACTTTGGACAATGATTTTAGTTATTATATTTGTATATAATTTATAAATTTTATACTTTTATGAAAATATTTTGAATAAGGAATATTTTGATATAATTTTCATATTTTAAATAATCTCGTATTAAAAAATATTATTGGCCAAAGTTGATTGACATTGACCAAGAAAAGTCAATTTGGCGAACCTTTTCGGGACGGAGGGAGTATTTATCATATCTTTTTTATCTTACATTATATTTTTATCTTTCGCTTTAGCTCTGGTTTCATGTGTTGATTCGTGTTACCCAACCCTAAACTCTTTTGGGACTACGGCTTGGGTGTTGTTGTTATATTCATTGAAGGCCCAGGGACAAAACTTTTAGCATTACCAGAATCTTAGATATAAGTTTTTGGGGGTGCAAGTGACCATTCATAATTGTAAATTTCACAAACAGAACTCTCTACTTTTTGGCATGGATGGAGAATATCTATATAATCATTTAACAGAACAATCTTCATCTTAATATATTAGTAGGTGCAATTTGACTATAACATTAAACAAAATATTTACTGATATATATAGTGTTAGAAATATTTAACATGATGTATATGAAATTTTCAAAAAAATACCAAAAAAAATCTTGAGACAAATCGTAATATCCAAAATCAACATAGCATGGATATACTACCTCCGTCCCCCCTAAGATTGGGACAAAGGAGTGTGGTGCATTTTTTAAGAAAAGTAGAGTTATGTGGTTGATATTCAATGGATAAAGTGGGAATAAAGTAAAAATGAATTCGAGCCACACAAATATTACCATATATGGTATGGGACAAATTTAGTGTGATGAACGGAAAAAGAAAAATGGGACAATTATAGTGGGACGGATGGAGTATTAAAAATCTGTTGTCTAAATTCTTGGTCTACTTCAATTTTCTTTGTGGAAGGGTGTCACGTGGACCAGTTTCTGTCATCCTTGGATATGACAGTTGACAAGACACCATTACAATTACATAACAGAATGAATTCAAATTTCAAATACAAAGCAAGAGAAGTGGAATATTACTTGAATTGTGGCCAATACACCACATGGTCCACCTTCATGTTGCACTAAGCCCATAGATGTTTCTAGATCAGGACTGAACCTATATAAAGTTTGCCATCATGTATTAGAAAAATGTGATATAGCATTATCTATGTACACATGAAGGAAGATCCATTACTTCGACAACATGATAAACAAAAATGACTTATTAAAACAGAATTATAAATACAAAACTGAAACTGGTAGTGTAGCTGTAAAAGCTCCAAGAGATACAAATAACAAGGAATCGATTAAGAATTTACAAGTAAAACAGGGATGATCGAACACTGAAATTAGGCCTGAAGCAAATGCCAGAAGATAAGTTTCAGTTGGCGTTATCACAAAATAGAGCAGCGACCACTGGAATGACTGATCAATAGCTTATTAGCTTCATAAAGTATACAATGTACCAGTCAAAGATTACTCAGCAATATCTAGTTTTCAAATATTACATAATTGAAAATCACAGTTAACCTTAAACGGGATGCAAGTATTGGTGGATTTTGTAGTCTGCACCCACTTGTTTGAAGAAAACATTGACTGGATCTGGATGCATTGTTATTTTGTTGATGACAACTTTTCTAGAAGGGAAGGACATATAAAGCATTGTAGCATTGTTTTAAACAAAGAAACTACATCCTGTATGGTGACTTGTCAACACCGTGAACTATAAACACATATCTACACCATAAAATGAACAAACTTGTGTAAAGCTCTTAAAACATACATTCGTGTGAAAGATATTCTTCAACTACAGAGTATTAAACACTCTCCGTATGTCTTTCCGTTATTCTTTAAAGCAAGGAAGAACAAGTCTACCAAATAATGCTAAGAAACAATTATAACAAGCTAACATGAACTAAAGATACAATACTCATAGTGACTGAATAGAGCACATAAAAGTAACTTTGCCACATTTCTAACCAGTACAGAATTCACAAGCATAACCAACTTTGATTTACAATATGTCTGATTCCTAATTTCATAAATAATAATAATAAATGATACAATCAATTCTGGAGGCTATGAAACATGTATGGTTGGGGAGTAATAAAAAAAGCAAATATCTTCGAAAATGAGCTTAATATAGTACTCCATCCGTCCCGAAAAGGTATTAATACGAAATTATATTGAATATGAAAATTATATCAAAATGATCCTTACTCAAAATATTTTCATAAAATAATAAAATTTATAAATTATATGCAAATATAATAATTAAAATCATTGTCCAAAGTTTGACATTATTGACCAAAAAAGTGGGGGACCTTTTCGGGGCGGAGTAGTATAAATTGAAGGTTTTGAAGAAATAGCAAAACCCTACAGACTGAACTTAGCAATACCTAATGCCCTGGTTAGTCCACTGCCCGAGTACATCTCTAGTGACATTTCTGCCGAATATCAATGAGAATAACTGCTCAGCCTCCGCAACTGACAACTCGTTTCCCAAGTTCACATTTTTATGGTCATATCTTACCAAATTAAGAGCATCATTTAATCCAGAACTTGAGTCGTCTGTTTTCTCTTGGGTAGCACACGTCTCCCCTCTCTTTTCCGCATTCCCAATTACGGTAGCTGACACGGATGCAGCCGCATGCTTTGAGGCAATCATCCGCTTTTCGGCAGCTGAGGCCATCAACTCCCGTTGCTTCCGGCGGTTCCTCACCGCCGGCGACTCCTCTTCTTCCCCGCAAACGGATATTTCTCCCGGCTTGCTCCTCTTCGGCTCTGGTGACTCGTTCTGCAAACTCATCCTCAACGCCATCTTCAATTCCTCACCCTCTTGATCTACCATTGAATGTAGAGATCAAATTATCTGATCTATAACTATAACTTGGATCTTTCCGATACTAGCATATACCAAAATTTGGGAGCTAGGGTTTGGGATTCTGAAGCTCAGATGAGTTTGTGAAACAGACGGGTCAAGATTAACTATGGTGTCCCCAACAGAGAATTGAATTTCTTGAGATTTGTAAATTTGCTTATTTGAAGGAGTATTGCACAAGGAATTTACAGGAGCTCTATAAAATCATAAAACATTCTTGCACGCAACTAAAAACAAAACGAAAAACTGATAGAATTTCTGAAGTAGAAATAAAGAAGATAGAATCGAAAAAATATGACTATTCTGAGTTAGATTGAGTTGCCCGGTTCCCCAACCTCACATTAGGAGTGGGGTAAAAAATGGGTTACAACTTGAGGATACCTTTAGCATAGCTCTTTGTGAAGACTATTTTTGTCTTGCCAACTTTTTCAACAAATACGTAACTTTTGCTTTCGCACGTTAAATTGTGAAATAAGTAAAAAAAGTAAGGTTGAAGTTATTTTTTGGTTGTATTGGCTGAAGTTACTGTAGATGGTCATTTTAGCTATTTTTACATATAATTTTTTCTTTGTTTTATTAATAAGATGTCATTTTCATTTTCATTTACCCCAGTGCCGCAAAGGCTCCCACCTACGGTGGGGTAAGGGGGGGTCGGATGTACGCAGTCTTACCCCTGTACTAAAGCACAGAGAGTCTGTTTCCGGATGACCCATAGTGAAAATCGCGTCCAAGATTGCATGGACTGACTGTTGCTCCATAACAAAGAAGCGCAGACAGTTTAGTGAGCCATTTTGCTTTATTCCATCATAATCTCAAGCCAAAAAATAATGAATCTTTGGCTACATTGCAAAAGTTGCTTTATTAATAAGATGTATTTTAAATTATTATTTTTCACAAATCAGCAGAATCAGCCAATACACCAACATCACCTAGAACTTCATAAATTTCAGCAAAATCAGCCAAATCAACCGATTTTCATGCTACCAAACGGGCTCTATGTGTTATGGACTTATGGGATGTTTAAACACGCAAAGTGCTCAAAAAGTTGCTTACTAATGATGTTTTTACTTGGACTGTAATTTGTTGGTGTGGTCTGATCTGGTCTGGTCTAGTCTGGTTTCTTTGTATTTTTATAACTATCCAAGTCTCGTCTGGTCTGAACTGGTCTGGTCCGGTCTGGGAGGAATTACGATCCAAGTAATAACATCCTAATTGATAGAGGTGCTTAAAGTGTAGCTTACTAAAGATATCATCTCCATGTGTTAATTAAGCCACACTTTAAGATTTTTCAAATTTTGAATTTACCCTTACTCTTACCATTGCCCTTACCCTATTGTTACCCCTCTACCCGCTACCCTTCTAAACACCCTGCCCCTACCCCCACCCTACCTTACCTCGACCCCACTCCAACCCCGACCCCACCCACATCCTACCTTACCCCTAACCCCTACCCCACCCTCACCACACGCCCTGACCCGGCCTCTTTACCCCCTACCACATGTACTTACCTTGACCCGACACCAACCCCACACCCTACCCTACCCATACATCCCTTACCCCCTCACTCATCATACCTTAGCCCCCGACCCCACCCCGACCTCATCCTACCCCCACCCCCTACCCTACCTCTAGCCCCTTACCACCCTACCCTTAACCATGCCCCACATGTTACCCCATATACCCTACCTTGACCTTGACCCTACCCCTTTACCCCATACCACCTTCCCCTGCCTCGACCCCACCCTGACCCATACCTTAACCCATCCTACCCCCCCACACCGCCTACTTTACCCCCTACAACCTACCCCTATATTGACCCCACCTCGACCCATCCCTGACCATACCCCTTTACCTCATCTGTACCCTACCCCTTTACCCCATACCACCTGCCCCTACCTCAACCCCACCTCGACCCCCTACGAGTAGGGTACGGGGTTAGGGGTATGGGTTGTAAGGGAGTAGGGGTAGAGGGTAAGGTCATGGTAAGAGGTAGGGGTAAGGGAAAGGGGTAAGGGGTAAAGGGTGTAGGGTAGGGGTAGGGGTACGGGGTGTAGGGTACCCTCACATATTATATTATACACCTGTGTTCATTAATGTTTGTGTATCTATATATGTATAGGGTTATTTTGGACATTTTAAAGTTAAACGGTGTTTTAAATCTTTTGAAGTAAACATGAGCTTGCAACACTGCTTATTGTATGCGCCGCTTATTAACGCGAGTCTTAATAAGCACTGTTTAGTAACCCGTGAAGTAAACGTGTCCTTAGTGTACATTACTTGTACACAAATTGTACATCATATAAATACCTTTTTAGTTTTTACCATTATTGTTTCATTTTTACCTCTCTCCCACCCATTACCTTTTCCTTCCTCTATTTATCTCTTTTCTCTGCGCTACGCACACCCCCGACCTCTCTTCCGTTCATTCTTACTTTTTTCCAATTTCAACTAATATTCTTTCAACCCAGCTTCAAATATCAACACCAACCAGCGCTTCTACTCCTCCACCGAAGAGTCGTTCGTAACGACAAACAATGACTTCCGTGAACGGTGGGAGCTCAGAGGGAATAGAAATGGGTGTTCGACCTGTTATGCGGATCTCTAGCTCCCTTCTCTTCTGGTATGGAACGTTGTTGATCGGCTTTATTGTAAGTAGTACTAACCTTCATTGGAAAAGTTATGAATAATAAAGTAATAATTTACTCCTTATTTTTGTGTTCAGATAGGGTTGTGATTTTTCATAAACAACTTTGTCGATGAAGGTTAGTACTACTTACAATAAAGCCGATCAATAATGTTCCATACCGGAAGAGAAGGGAGCTAGAGATCCGCATAACAGGTCGAACACCCATTTCTATTCCCTCTGAGCTCCCACCGTTCACGACAGTCCTTGTTTATCGTTGCGAACGGCTCTTCGATGGAGGAGTAGAAGTGATGGTTGGTGTTGATATTTGAAGCTGGGTTGAAAGAATTTTGAAGATTAGTTGAAATTGAAACAAAAGTAAGATTGAACGGAAGAGAGGTTGGGGTGTGCGTAGCGCAAAGAAAAGAGAGGGAGAGAGAGAGAGAGAGGAAGGAGAAGGTAATGGATGGGAGAAAGGTAAAAATGAAACAATAATGGTATAAATTAAAAAGGTATTTATATGATGTACAGTTTGTGTACGAGTAATGTACACTAAGGACACGTTTACTTCACGGGTTACTAGTGAAGGCTCCAGGACCAGTGTTGATGTTTGTTAGTTAGATGAAGCTTGTTTCCTTTTTAATTGTTAAGTCCTGGCCGAGGAAGGGCATTTGAGTGAGGATGCTGGTGTTCCCAGGACAAAGGGTGCAGCATCTGACCTACCTTCTGTTCATGTTTAACCGAGGGGTGCTGTCTCTCCAGTTGGACGAAGGGTCCTATTTGTTTTGTTGTTGACCTTGGCCAGGGTGGAGCCACTCCTGTTTCTAGGAAGAGGGGTCTGTCGCTTGACTAAGTGGTTATTGACCTATATTTGGGGTTGGTCGGCATTTGGACGAGGGTTGCTATTCCTTGGAGCCTAGGACCTTGTCGTTATGTCCAAGAGGGGATGATGTGTCAATCCTTCCATATGACCGATGAGCTTCCATTGTGACCTGACCAAGCTGCTACTTGTATATCCGGGCGATGACAGACCAGCGACTATGCTCCTGTTTCTTTCTTTAGTCTTGGTCGAAGGTATAGTTGGAATTCCTGGCCGTTGAACTGTCACCTCTGCGAGAGAGTCGAAGGATAATTTGGCTAGAGTGGGATCACATTTGAATGTGTATATTGGATGACATTTTGCTCCTTAGCCGATGGGACATGTTACCCCAGCTAGGGCCAAGGTGGTACCAATTCGTTTACTTATGTGATGTGTTATTGGTTGGGAGGATCTCGCTTGATGTATTCTAGCTCTCAATGAAAGCACCAAATGATATGTTATTTAATCTAGAGAGAAGGGAGAGCTAGAGAGATAAAGTGACGTGTATAAATGAATATACATGAATATACGTGGGCCGCTGTTTGGGCCCAATAGTCATGAGACCGGGGGTCCGAGTCCATATACACTATCAGTGTCTTTCCAGACCTTTTGTGAATTGAGGTCATGTTCTGAGTAAAGCATGCACTGTTGATTGCTTCAGCTCAGAGAAAATGTGGAAGTTTGGAGCGAATAAGCATGGTTTTCAGCACCTTCAACAAGAGTTGTATTCTTTCATTCAACTACCCCGTTTTGTTGTGAGGTCTTTGATGCAGAGAATTGTTGTATGATTCCATGTAGCTCGTAGAACTCACTGAGCATCTGATTCTTGAACTCAGTGCCATTTTCGGAACGAATGAATAGAATGGTTGTTTAGAGTAGATTTTGCGCGGTTTGTATGAAGGTGATGATGATGCCAACTGCCTCATCTTTAGTGCGTAAGAAGTGGGTCCACGTGTACCATGAATAGTCATCCACTATTACCAGAATGTATTTCTTCCCATTGATACTCTGTGTACGCAGGGGCCCACAAAGATCCATGTGAAGTAGTTCTATAGGACGTGTAGTAGATGCTGTCATTTTCGCCTTATGAGAAGCTCTTTTCATTTTTCCAAGTGCGCAAGAATCGCACAGATGAACATTTTGCGTTTGAAGTGCTGGCAGACCAGTAACAAGCTTCTTTGATGACAATGTATGTAGATCCCTGTAGTTCAGATGAGACATCCTCTCATGCCACACTTGATTTTGTTCAGATGATGCTCTTGATAGTAGACAAACATGAGTAGAGGAAGAGACGGTTTTCAGAACAATGGTGTATAGACTCGATTTTCATCTACACCTCAGAATGGTCTTCCCCTGTTCATCTTTTACGTAACACTGATCAGCTTGGAAGATAACTTTCATTCCTTTGTCACAGAATTGATCGATGCTAAACAGTTTGTGTGTCAAACCAGCAAAATATGACACAACTTTGATTGTAACCTTCCTCTTATAGATATCTCCATATCCAAGGACGTGAGCAGACTCACTGTTTCCAAATCTCACTTTTCCACCGAACTTGTCGGTGTAGTTGCTCAACAGCTCTTTCTTCCAAGTCATGTGTGTGGAGCAACCAAGAATCAAGATACCACACATGACTGACCTGTGAATTTTAAGGAACCTTCGGTACCCTTTTAAGGATGGGTCCGTCCTGCTTATGCAAAATAATATTTAAAGGATTTTTATTAATTTGTTTCTTAGGAACCCAGACTTGCTTGATGTTTGGAACTTGTTCAAATTTGTTCTTGAAAGATGGGTGATTGTTATTAACATTTGTGAAATTTTTCTCCATTGCTAATCTCTTAA